CACTTGTCATTACTTGTAAAGTAATGACAAGTGACTTGTAAAGTACAACAATGTGTGAAATTCAAAGTTAACATTCAAATTCAATTTAAATTTCACACATTTTGTACTTTACCATCCAAAAAGCTATATAGTTATGTTTACTGTTTATTTGTTCTTGACTGTAGCTGGTTGTGGGAAATGATCAAGTATAATTAGCAAATGTTAAATACCGTCAGTAAATTGTATGAGTGTCTTTAATATCCATTTTGTTAGCAGACCTTAGTTTTTCTCTTGAGTGGGTTGTTGTTCAGGTCATCTCTATCCCATGCTCCATGTCCAAAACGGGTCGATTTTCTGGTGCAAAATCCCTGTCTGTCCGCTCTATGTAGCGCTGCAGAGTACTGTAATACTGTTCACTCCTGGAGAAAGTGTAGTATGCAGAGATCTCCTCCCATGCCTTGTGGTTTGGAAATGGCATGGGATCAGGTTCTTTGTTCTCAAAAAAGCTCTGCAGATTTCTCTCAGCCAGCTTTGTTGCATAGTCCACAGTGAAGGCATCAAAGCGCTCCTTCTCTTTCTCAATATAACGCTTCCAGAACGTAAGCTGCAGGTAGCTGACCTGGGAGCGGCAGTTTTTGCAGCAAGTGCCCAAAAGACCTACAATGGCAGCAACCATTATGATACTCCAGCCCAAAATCTGCAGATGTAATGAAAACAAAACATTCTGTCAATTAGTGACATGCATATTTTCCAATAATTATCAGCTGATGAATGCTATGGTAGCAAAACTTTAGGACTATCTGCCAATATTCTATGTAACATTATTAACTCACTTTATTCTTTATTACTGCCTGGAAAAAAACAGACATCATCAAATTCCATCATGTACATCCATAGATCTCATGGGTTTGTGATAAATAAATATTGTAATATATGTTTCTCTGTTTTCAGTTAACAGCTCATCTGACAGACTCGATGGCTTATTTGGAGTTAAATTATAAGTAATTTGTATTTATATTTATTTATTTATTGTTATCTGTCACTTTTCTGAACACTATCTCCATGAACTCACAGGCTTTTGGAGTCACTCTGTAGTTGTTTTACTGGATCTTACACTTCCCACAATAAAAGCAGATTTTACATTTAAAATAACTTCCCTGTGTAGAAAACACTCCTGCCCTTAAAAGCTATTGTGTTGTTTAGACTGCTGCACAACATTTGTTTTACAAATTTTCAAAGCCACGATAGAATTTGGGTAATAAGTTTCAGACTTCACAAAGCTCTTTCAGATGCACAGGAGGTTAGGGATAATTAAGTGAAATCCTCTAGATGTGTGGAATTGGTGTGTCTTACTTGTGACTGAGCCCTGAACATCATCAGCAGCTTCATCCGTTCATCACTGGAGAGTTTAGAGTTACCACAGGGAACCAGGGCCAGCTGGTCCCGACACTGCAACGTCTTGTTTTTACAAAACAGATTCACAACCAGGTTATCATCCAGACCGCTGATGGCACATTCATAAAAGGTCCCATTGAGCAAGGCCACGCACAGCCACATAACAGGGGCCACACAAGCACCAGTAATAATGCTCAATAACACCCTAAAACAGCCAAGGCAGTTCCCGCGAGGGCAAAGCTTCATGGGGTTAAGACAGCAGCCAGTGTAGAGCCTCCACAGCCTGCTGCTGAAGAACAGACCAAAAACAAAAAGCACTGCAGCTGGACCAAGCAGAAACGTCATCCCATACGTGAAATTCTGCTCATGGTTACATGGGCACTGAAATGAAACCATTGAAAAAATTCGTTCCCCACCTATAGTTAGGAGTGCCATAAAACTGTAACCAATGGTGGCTTTTTGGTTCATGAAGAAACGCAGTACTGTCTGGAAGTTATCCATGGTGTTGTATCCAGGAGCTATCCAAAACTATCCCAGAGAAAAGTCTAACCAAACCTCTATCAGCTACTTCCTGCTCTGATGTTTGTCAGAGATTCATCTGCCAAACCAGTTTGTGCCCCTCCCTTTGGTGGTCCGTTGTCAAGCTCCTCCTTTGTTCATTTCAACACTGAATTCTTCTGCCCTGAGAAGGAGTATCTGCTGTGCTCGAACTAATAGAAATAACAATCGTTGGGGTTAGTTATTCTTTATAGGTTTTCCTTTCCAGCTGTGATATTGGGATAAGTGTTAGTGTGTGATGTCTTACATTTACTTCTGACAGAAGAACCAACATCAAGCACAAAGAAATGAAAATGAAAATACAAGGTTATTCAAGGTTCTTGAATAACCTTAGTTATTTCTTGATACAAATTCCCTCAATGTACATTTAATATGATATTCAGTCTGTTGCAAAGACATGACTAAACACGTAGAACATGCCATTGCAGCAGGAGCACATTCAGAGAACAAGAGCCACTGGGGGAAGTGCTCACATCCTCCTTGTGGTTTACTCTTCCCGTCCCACAGGACTGGCCATTTAGACTGCAGTCCATCACACAGATGCATCCTTTTTTCAAACCAAGTCATCCTCTGCAGCAACAAACTCTGAGCACTGAGCACCACAGGCAAACTGGGTCTAATCTAAATATCTAAATACAATGAATGTCTAAATATTTTGTCTGTGATGAAAAGCAACCTAAAATAATTGAGAATGTCCTGGCTGAGGACAATCATGGGTGGGATTAAAGAAAGGCAGTTTAAAATGTTTTAGATGTTACTTTGGGAACGGCAAACATTACATTTAGTCAATTTTAGACTGTTTTTTAAAACAAAACAGTGAGGTGAATCTGGATCACTTCCCGCATGAAAAAAAAAACCCTAAGAGAGCTCAAAACAACTTCTGGAGCATCTATTTGAGTATTTCTCGCCAGAAGACTTTGAGTCATTTGTGCGACCAAAACTGAAGAAGGCTCTAGCAGGTGATCGTTAACTTAACAAACTAAAAACAAATGCTGTGCCGACAGTTTTTATCCACAAAACACTTAAACCTTGCCACCACCACTATTTGCTTTGTACAGAAGTCCTGGGTTCTCCATTGAGAAACAAATAAATTTGATCTAGTTGAGTAAAATTGTTTGTCCGTGATGTATGCAATGTCCCAGTTCCACGCTATGAAGCTTACCATAAATTACCTGCACTGTAAGCAACCATCCCACACTGCAGAAAGAAAAGTGCCAATACAAACCAGATGGCTGCAAACTTTAATTCAATATTTAGAAGCACAGCTTCTAAATATTGTTTATTATATTACCCTAACATAACAAACACAGACTGAACGGCTTCGTTCAACTCCTCTGCTGCCATTCATAAAACTACAGGCAGAGGAAAAATTCTAAAACATCACAGAAAATCAGCATCATCATTTACAACTTCTCCTTCTGTTCTGTTATCTACCAGGGATAATCCAAGAAAAGGGAAGAATGTGAAACTTCTTTGGAGTAGTTGCACAGAAAGGCAGTGGCCAGGCTAAGCTTTTGTGGACAGTGGAGGCCTCCTGCATTAGTCGCAGCTCACTGCTTTGCACCACCTGATGAAACCTCCTCTGTAAGTCTGACCGTGCCGTACTGTGAAACAAAGAGTTTCTTTAAATATGACGTAGTGTTTTTGAAACTAGAAAAGCCTTTGCCATCAGCACAGAGCATACAGCTTAATATTGACATCTTTACCTGATGGCTTTTTCAACTAGAAAACATGCATTTCTCTCCTCACTCTATTGTTTACATTTGTGTTGCTGGCTGTGTGAATTACAAGTGAGTTGTTCTCATGCTGAGAACATGACTTGTTGAGACTCACCATGATGCAAGAAAATAGCAAATATTTCTTTTTACAAAGAAAAATGACATAAACAGCAACACCGTAATTTGGATAAGCAATTTAATCTGATTACTGGTTTATTAATAGAAAGGGACTAGATTAGTCCTTATTAAAAAAAAGGTCATATTAAAGTAATCTGTTCCTAAGGAATGAATTACTGGCATCATCGATCATGGTCTCTGTAAACTCATTCTAAAACAGACAGTAAGATTACTGAAAGAACTAGCTAGTAATGCCATTTCACCACCTATTTATTTACTTCTAAATTCCCTGTTTGATCTGCAATGCAATTCAAAATCCTCACATATAAAGTTTGTAATAACCAAGGACTGAATAATGATGGTATCTTTAGCATTTCTGTCTTAACGTAGATGCTTGGATGTTTAGTTTTTATTTCTCAGGCTCCCCTCCTGGAAAACCAGTTTTGTGTACTTGTTTACATAACATATTTAGGCTCTTAATCTATATTGTAAGATTTATAATTTTCTTTTGATAAAAACCACTGTCAGTATCAAACAATTTTTTGATATATTGCTATTGGTCAGGACTGTTGGATGAACTCAGATTAAACAGAATCTAGTTTCTAATTACTGTCAAGCAACATTCATAAATATAATAATCCAATTTAAACATCGGCACTGTTACTTTGCCAGATCACTCAAAGCATACAACAAACCCAGGCAAACAGGCAAGCAAACAGAGTGGAAATAAATGAGTCTTTAATGATGAAGAAAACCTCCAAAATTACAGAGAATAATTAACACATGCATTGTAATCCAAAGACACAAGGGCGTAAGAAACATTTACAGGACCAAACAAAAAGATCTGGCAATAAGGGGGAGAAACAGGGAGGATATATACAGGGACAGTGATTACTGGATGGGAGACAGAGAATGATTTCTGGTGTTCAGCAGTGGTGAGAGAGATGGAGGTGCCTAACAGAATTACCAGAAAAACATGAAGATATGTGAAACAATAGCAAAAATATGGTCAAATTCAAAAGTAAGTAGAAATTCTGAACATAAGTCCACAACAATACAAAATTGAGACAAAATATAACAAAACTGAAAAACAAACCAAAATCCTTCAAATCATGACTCCTTACAACTGCCATGAGCATACATATACTTTTAAAGCTAAGAAAATTCACTTATATCATGTTTAGAAATATATCCTAAGCTTTATTATTCTTCCTCTATCAATTTAAATTATTTTCATATTGAAACCATTCCACCATCCACAAAATGGAGAACAGCAGGGTTGTCAGTTGACTCATTTGATCTTACTGAAACCATCCTAATCCCATCACTCTCCTGGTTTGTCTCCACATATCGATGCAAAGTGCTGTAGAAGTGATCTTTGGTGCTAAACTTATATAATAAGGAAATTTTCTCCCAGTCCTTGTTGGAGGGAGTGGTGATGTTTGCAGGTTCCATCTGGTTGAAAAAGCTCTTTAGGTTTCTCTCAGCAAGATCTTTAGCGTGTTTATTGGTGTATAAATCCATGAGCTCACTTTCCTCCTGAGCATATGCCCTCCAGAACTTTAGTTGCTGATAGCTGATGGGCGAGTTGCAGCGAGCCAGGCAGATGATCAGTAAACTGGACAACATGATGGAGGTGATGACAAGCCAACCTAGAATCTGTTGTAACCATCAAAATAAAAAGATTATTTATCACTATGGCCATTTACCATTAGTATTTAAGACTACAACCTACTGCAAAAAAGCACCAAATTACACAAAAAAGAAGGAATGGTCTAATCTGAACATAATCTCTGGAACACATACAGGTGACAATGTAAATTATTTAAGAGCTGGTACATTATCAATCAATCAACCAAGTTTATTTGTGTAGCACATTTCAGAAACAAAGCAATTTAAAGTGATAGACAAAATTTCATTAAGCTTTGTGAAAATTCAGGTATTTTTAATAATAAGTCAATGAGTAAAAATCAGTAACATCATTGCAAATTTTTTTATAACATAAACCACCTGCTGAAACCAATACTTAATGTATTTATGTCAGAACACTGCAAAGTACTACTGACAATATCAGCTGTTTGCTGTCAAACAGCACAGCAGGGTACGCAGATGTAAACTATCTTCAAAATAATAAAGCTTGGATCAAAACAAAAAGCTCCTCTTTTAATGTAAATGTAATTTTATTTATATAGCACATTTTCAGCAACAAGGCAATACAAACTGCTTTACAGGAATTAAAAGGAAACACAAACAAAATAACAAACCAAAGGAAAGAGCAAAAAAAGAGAAAAAGAATCTCATGTTGATCTAAAGTATGTAAACTAGGTGCTCTTGTTCAGGGTTGCTAAGTATCCTCTGGTCTAATGGACTCTTTGCACCTACGGCGTTGACGTTACATCTCCAAGAGCTAATGCGGCTCACTTGTTTCCGCTTTGAGTTACCATGACTGGTAGAAAAGACTAAGTCGTATTTCAGATGCAAAAAACCAATACTATTAACATTGTTGTCTTCCTAATATAATGGGCTTTTAAGTTTTCGTTAATTTCCAAGCGATCCTGAATTAAGAAGATGGCTTGTAAATATCTGTCGCTACCAGCTAACGCCGCACAGCAAAGTTTGCAGCCTTCGCTTCACTCCGGATCAGCCTAAAACTACCGGGGATACGGATGGTAAATAAAGGAGCCTCCCTGAGTTATTTCCATGGAATCACTTCTGTATTCAGCCTGAAAGAGCGAGTTTATGGGAACGAGAGAGCAGACCAGAGCCAGACAGCCGAGCAACTGATCCGCCTGTACATACTGCTGTAAACACCTATCTGAGCTCTTCACAAGAAACATGCAAAGGTAATAAAACAATATAACATGGAGACATGAAGCAACACGGTCATATTTTTCTAAAAGCAGCAACTTTGAACCTGAACAGTCAGCTGAACCAGATCTCTGACACCAGAGCTGCGCTACTGTTAAGCTATGAGGCTTGTTGAGCTCCGTCAGGCTTCGTAAGTAAAAACTCCCCGTTAGTCTGTGACACTAACGACAATAAACACACATAATATACTTGAAAATTAGGTAAAAACATTGTCCGTTAGAATGTTTAGATACTTAAATAGCACATTTTTACAAGAACAATGTCAGAGAATATTGCCTACTAGCATAAGCTAAGGTTAATGTTAGCCACAAAGTTTAAGTAAAACTCACCTTCGTATCAGTAAATGTATAACGAGGCGTACATCTTAAAACCTCTCTCCAGCTGACTTGTTGGGGCTTCGGATCGATGTACAAACCTTGGCCAAGCCCTGCAAGCACCTAATGTAAATGATATTTGTATTGGATCGGAAACAACCAAGCCGCTTTTCCCCGAACGCGGAAGCTGAGGTGCAAAGAGCCCATTCCATTTCCGGGTTGGAAGAACAAGAGTCTAAAAAGTAGTGTCGATTCAAAAGTTTCCTCTGGGCTTCTGGTCTCTGCATCTAAATAGTGAGA